AGTCCCATAGGTTCCGTCCGTTTCAAATTTCAACCGCAATAAGTCATTCACTTCTCTTTTCTAGATAGGTTGCAAAGTACCGTTCAATAGAGCAAACCAAACTCTACAAAACGGCAGTCTGCTTCTATACCAGTTTCGATCCATTTCGAGTTCCAAGTGAAAAAAAGATTCAAATACCAGAAAAATCGAGAAAAAATCGTAGCTCCGTCCAAAAAAATCCTACAAAATTCCCAACTTGCTCACGTACACTATTCACATAAGATTCCATAAACGCCATTTCGTATTTTTTGCCTCCTTTAGAAATCAAGAAAGCGAAGATCTTCCTGAGTTTGCCAAATTAACGCAGTGCTGCTCCCACATAATCCCCACATAAGCAGATTGTACTATTAACCTGTAGAAGTACGAACACAAATTTCCACTGTCCACAAACTTTATTTTTCAAGAAAGATGGATTTTTTCGAAACGGACGGAACTTATGCGACCTAATGCATTACTGTAATTACAATTTTACGGTGTTCAACGAAAAAAAGCGAATACTTTGAATAATGCCCAAAAATTATAATTACCCTCAGATTACCTAAGTATAATATTTTCAGAAATCACTTTTAAATTTTATCTAGTTTCAAGTCCTATAGTTTATCCTCCAAAATCCATACTTAAATGAATGCTTCTAGCTCTATCCTATACCAATTGTCAACAATCTGATTCGCTCTTCAACCGGCAGCTACCTAAATCAAGAGCCGAAAGACTCGAACCATTGGGTCCTGACACGAAGATTTTTCCTGTATGACGACTATAGTATGTCCACTCAAAATTCCACCCCGATTTTGCGCTATCCAAGAGCCATGCACTTGCATGTGGAACTACAAGTGAGGATTTTTGCCTTTTTTGTTTTTGCAGTTTCTGGTCGAAAGTGATAATGATCTTTTTAGCCTACCCGAGATGGTCTCATTTTTCCACCATATTTGGAGATTGAGTATGCGGAAAGAAACGATACAAAGGATCTTATCCTTAACCAGAAGCTGATGGTGTCATATGAGATAGAGCCATCTCGTCATAATAGGGTACGCTGATTTTTCGACTGTCAAATTTTTGATTTGGTACTTCTAGCCCCGAGAAAATGCTGTCACTTGATTTTCATTGTACACAAGCAAGTAAGAAAAGTCGAACAAAATAAGCAAGATAAAAAAGTATTGGTAAGATTTATGATGCCAATAAGCAGCAAATTTTCTCTTTCTGTTGTGATGTACGAAAAAGCGCGATTGTCGAAAACAGTAGGAGTGCTCCTCATTTTTTATGAAGAAAGTCCCACAAAAGAAGGGTTATGGTAGAAGTTCGAACAGCACAAACGGCTCCTGCCAGCGATCCGGCGATTGTTTCCAAATTCCATGAAGGACCAAAAACTCATGTGAAGTGAAATTTATTGGAGAAATGGAGGGCGAAGAAATAGAAATTTCTCATTTTTTGAATGCCAATTACAACTAAGGTTCAAAACACAATTATTTCCTTATTTTTACCTCTTTTAGTAGAACTCAAATTTGATCAATAGTTCTGTCCATAGGGAAAAAGCAGATCCTTTGGATTTTCAAAGTCGAAAAATGTCAACTACAGGTTCTTGCCTAGACAATTAGCCAAATCTAAAGCTTGGCTCATAAGCTGCCCAGTCAGATCTCACTAAGATCATTCACTTGCGGATTCGTTTGAATTCTACCATTTTAGAGAGAGAATATAAAATCTGTCGATTTTCAAACAAAAAATACTGTTAGCATACCGCGGCATATAAACTGATGGAGAAAAGCACTCAGTTTATACATTTTTTGGATTTAAATTGCTGAGTATGCTAGAAGTTTTGAAAAATATGATTGCCTTTGGTTCAGTACGGTATCTTATCATATTTTCGACAATTATGGTGCAAGATTCGTCGGACACCTTATTATATTTGATTTTAGGAACTCGAGATCACCATGGCCGTGCTTTGCCCACTGTCTGTGTTATGGGCAGCTATGAAAGCTTACAGGTGCTTTTAGGATAATTTAAGCTCAATCTACAAGAACCCATTTCAGTTGGGGAAGGCGAAGTGGTAAGGTGTCGCTGCTGGATGGTTCTACTATCCTACAGTTCTTACTGTACGAATGCTCCGCTTTGGCCGACGTTTTCTTTATCGTTATCACAGCTATGTCGTGTTGGATCACATTTGCGTACAAGCAGCAAAAATATCCCTTCTACACTACTCTGAATGAAGATCAGGTTTGTGAAAAATATCACAACAATGTCTAAATGTCTAGAATCTTCAATTTTTCAGGAACAGGTCCTTATGCGTTATTTGATCGCTACTCTCATCCTGAAATTTATAGCACTCATACATACAATTCTGCAGATTGTCTTGCAAGAAACATTCTTTATCGACTGGGAAAGGCCGCACATTGTTGAGGTAAGGTCAAAAGGATAACGATAATATGCAATGACATAAGTGCTGATTAAAGTTACGAGTGATTCGGCACTTAATTTTGTTTATATATGCACAAATGG